GTCAGAGCACTGGGCATGTAGGTGGCTGTGGCAGAGGCAGCTGCGATTGAAGTTCCAGAAGGGAAAAGACACGGGTGACATTAGAAGCTGCCTGGTAGCTGTCCAAGATGCCTGAGGTCATGTTTGTGAGTCAGGATCGCCAAAGGCTGCCTGTGCTGGGCTACAGGAGGCTGGCTGACCTGAAACAGGGGGTGGGGCTAGGCCTAGAGCTGGAGCTGCCAGGGCCCAGAAACGGAGACCGTGGGTATTGGTGGCTGCTCCATGCTGCTGCCCATCAGCGGCCCCCAGGGTGGTCAGGGTGCTGGAGGAACCCTAAGAGCGCCGTTTATGTGGGGGCGCACCAAGGCTCAAGCTCTGTCCTAGCCAGGAAGAGGCTGTGATCTTTCTGCCCCTGGTCCGTGCCACATTCAGCTGTGCAGATGGGAAGGAGATCCCACTGGTGCCAGGGGGAGGCGCCGGAAAAAGAGAATTGTGTGGGGCTGCCACATATGCACAGGTCGGCCCAAAGCTGGGCCCCACTTGGGGACCAGATCCCATGGCTATGGCTGTGCTGCCACTGGGCGGTGCCACAGTCATCTGTGCAGATGGGAAGGAGTTCCCACTGGTGCCAGCGGGAGCCCCCTGGTAAAGAGGATCAGGTGGGGGTGTGGTATCCATAGGCTCTACACCAGTGTCAGTCCCTGACTGGGGAGCAGAGGATGTGCCTGTGGCTGTACTGCCACTCGGTGGTGCCATAGTCATCTGTGCAGATGAAAAGGAGTTCCCACTGGTGCCAGTGGGTGCACCCCGGGGAAGAGGATCAGGTGGAGGTGTGGTATCCATTGGTTCTACACCAGTGTCAGTCCCTGTCTGCAGAGCAGAGGATGTGCCTGTGGCTGTGCTGCCCCTGGGTGGTGCCATAGACATCTGTACATATGGAAAGGAGTTCCCACTGGTGCCAGCAGGAGCCCCCTGGGGAAGAGGATCAGGTGGAGGTGTGGTATCCATAGGCTCTACACCAGTGTCAGTCCCTGACTGGGGAGCAGAGGATGTGCCTGTGGCTGTACTGCCACTCGGTGGTGCCATAGTCATCTGTGCAGATGAAAAGGAGTTCCCACTGGTGCCAGTGGGTGCACCCTGGGGAAGAGGATCAGGTGGAGGTGTGGTATCCATTGGTTCTACACCAGTGTCAGTCCCTGTCTGCAGAGCAGAGGATGTGCCTGTGGCTGTGCTGCCCCTGGGTGGTGCCATAGACATCTGTACATATGGAAAGGAGTTCCCACTGGTGCCAGCCGGAGCCCCCTGGGAAAGAGGATCAGGTGGAGGTGTGGTATCCATTGGTTCTACACCAGTGTCAGTCCCTGACTGGGGAGCAGAGGACGTGCCTGTGGCTGTGCTGCCCCTGGGTGGTGCCATAGACATCTGTACAGATGGAAAGGAGTTCCCACTGGTGCCAGGAGGAGCCCCCCCGGGAAGAGGATCAGCTGGGGGTGTGGTATCCATAGGTTCTACTCCGGTGTCAGTCCCTGTCTGGGGAGCAGAGGATGTGCCTGTGGCTATGCTGTCACTGGGCGGTGCCACACTAATCTGTGCAGATGGGAAGAAGTTCCCACTGGTGTCAGTGGGAGGCCCCGGAAGAGGAGCATTGTGTGGAGGTATGACATATATGGAGGATGGCCCAAAGCTGGGCACCACTTGGGGACCAGAGCCCATGGCTATGGCTGTACTGCCACTGGGCGGTGCCACAGTCATCTGTGTAGATGGGAAGGAGTTCCCACTAGTGCCAGTGGGAGGCCCCGGAAGAGGAGCCTTGTTGGGAGGTGTGACGTATATGGAGGATGGCCCAAAGCTGGGCACCATGTGGGGACCAGAGCCCATGGCTATGGCTGTACTGCCACTGGGCGGTGCCACAGTCATCTGTGGAAATGGGAAGAAGTTCCCACTGGTGCCAGTGGGAGGCCCTGGGAGAGGAGCATTGTGTGGGGGTGTGACGTATATAGAGGACAGCCCAAAGCTGGGCACCATGTGGGGACCAGAGCCCATGGCTGTGGCTGTACTGCCACTGGGCGGTGCCACAGTCATCTGTGGAGATGGGAAGGAGTTCCCATTGGTGCCAGTGGGAGGCCCCGGAAGAGGAGCATTGTGTGGGGGTGTGACGTATATAGAGGACAGCCCAAAGCTGGGCACCACCTGGGGACCAAAGCCCATGGCTATGGCTGTGCTGCCAAGGGGCAGTGTCACAGTTGGCTGTGCAGAAGGGAGGGAGCTGCCACTGGTGTCAGGGGCCAGAGGCCCAGAAAGGAGAGGATCAGGTGGAGGTGTGATGTCCACTGGAAGCTCTGTTCTGTTAGTGTCTGTGTGTACAGCAGAGGCTGTAGCTGTGGCTGGAGATGTCAGTGGGTTCCCATAGCCCAGGAAGGGCTTCTCCTTTCTGTTCTTACTCTTCCCTGCAGGCACAGTGGATGGAGGTCCAGTCCCTGGGGCAGCCATGGGAGCAGAGCCCAAAGGCTCCATGCATTTGTTATCTTTGGGGGCCTTCTTTCTGTTCTTACCTTTCCCTGCTGAAATGGTGACTGGAGGAGCAGTCCCTGGGGCAGCCAGGGGAGCAGAGCTTAAAGGTTCCCTGCTTGTCTTCTCTTTGGGGGCCTTCTTTCTGTTCTTACCTTTCCCTGCTGGAATGGTGTCTGGAGGAGCAGTCCCTGGGGCAGCCAGGGGAGCAGAGCAGGAAGGCTCTGTGGGATCAAAGACCTCAGGGGCCTTCTCCCTTTTCTTCTTACCCTTCCCTGTTGGAATGGTGTCTGGAGGAGCTGTCCCTGGGGCAGCCAGGGAACCAGAGCAGAAAAGCTGTGTGGGGTCCAAGACCTCAGGGGCCTTCTCCCTTTTGTTCTTTCTCTTCCCTGTTGGAATGGTGTCTGGAGGAGCTGTCCCTGGAGTAGCCAGGGAACCAGAGCAGAAAAGCTGTGTGGGGTCCAAGACCTCAGGGGCCTTCTCCCTTTTCTTCTTACCCTTCCCTGTTGGAATGGTATCTGGAGGAGCTGTCCCTGGAGTAGCCAGGGGACCAGAGCAGAAAAGCCGTGTGTGGTCAAAGACCTCAGGGGCCTTCTCCCTTTTGTTCTTAACCTTCCCTGTTGGAATGGTATCTGGAGGAGCAGTCCCTGGAGTAGCCAGGGGACCAGAGCAGAAAAGCCGTGTGTGGTCAAAGACCTCAGGGGCCTTCTCCCTTTTCTTCTTACCCTTCCCTGTTGGAATAGTGTCTGGAGGAGCAGTCCCTGGAGTAGCCAGGGGAGCAGAGCAGAAAAGCTGTGTGGGGTCAAAGACCTCAGGGGCCTTCTCCCTTTTCTTCTTACCCTTCCCTGTGGGAATGGTGTCTGGAGGAGCTGTCCCTGGAGTAGCCAGGGGAGCAGAGCAGAAAAGCCATGTGGGGTCAAAGACCTCAGGGACCTTCTCCCTTTTGTTCTTACCCTTCCCTGTGGGAATGGTGTGTGGAGGAGCTGTCCCTGGGACAGCCAGGGGAGCAGAGCAGGAAGGCTCTGTGACATCAAAGATCTTAGGGGCCCTTTCTGTTCTTAGGGCCCTCTTTCTGTTCTTACCTTTCCCTGCAGGGATCATGGGTGGATCAGTACCTGGCAGAGGCTGGGAAGCAGAGCAGGAAGGCTGAGGGCTACTGGTGAGGGTGGAGTCCTGCTGCTTTCTGTGGTTACTCTCCCCCGCAGAGATCAAGGGTTCAGGAGCAGTACCTGTGGCAGGCAGGGGAGGAGGGCAGACAGGCTGTGTGGTGCTGCTGATGTCTAGGGCCTGCAACTTACCCATCAGCCTGGCATTCACAAGCTGGAATGCTGCCTCCTTCTCCTGACCTATGTGCTCCGCGGTGATCTTATAGCTCAGTTCCGGAGGTGGTGGCAGCCTGAGGGGTGGCCCTTGGCGACGCCTCAGGAGAGGGATCTTTCTTCTTCCTAGGCCAGCACCCTCTGGTGTCATCTCGTGTTCCTTTCTGGTTTCTTCGTGTCTGGATGGTGTGTCTGCCACCACCTCGTTCCCGGGCTTGAGGGGAACTTGGGGGGCCGAACACGGTTGCTGGAGGCTGTCCTGCCTGGCCGCCTTCAGATCTTTGGCAGAGCCCGGGGGCGGCCTGGGGTGCGAGTGGGCTGCAGCCCTCCTGCGCTGTCCCGGCAGCCCCCCGGTGGAGCTGTAGGAGCTGCTGATGGCATTTCGCTTCAAGGAGCTCACACAGGAGGGCTGGGGGTAGCGGGCAGCTGGAGCTCTGGCGCTCTGCCTGCGGTGGTCTGTGCTCAGAGGCCCAGGCCTGGGGACATAAGGCACCTGGCCTCGCCGGCCTACCACGGGCTTGAAGGCGGACGGGGGCCTCGCAGCCTCCTGGGCGGCCCTCCTCTGCTGAGCCTCCTGCCTCAAGAGCCAAATGCCCGAGCAGTCCCTGCGGGAGGACCTACGGCTGCTGCTGCGGCGTGTCTGAAAATCGTCTGCGGGAAGCACTGGCCTCCCCAGAAGAGAGCCTACCTGTTGGCCCATGGGCCCCAAGGGCCCCAAGGGCCGCAAGGGCCTCAAGGGCCTCAAGGGCCAAAAGGGCCTGCAGGTAGGGGAGCAGTGCTCCGGGCACTCTTGCCCAGAGCACTGAGGTCAAGCCCGGGATGCCTGATGCCTGATGCCAGACGTCAGGACTGGATCCGCGGGCACACTGGCTAAGCGGGATGCGCCCACCCAGGGCTCTGGGCAGGTGCCGAGAGGGGCCCACAAAGGTGGGCCCTTGGGGCAAGGTCCTGCCCCCGCGGGCAGGGAGCAGGGCTGCGGGGCAAAGCTAGCCCGCGGCACTGCTCCCCGGAACTATTGGGGAACGGGGGTACTTCTATCCCAGACCTTGGCAGAGCGCACTGCTTGAAGCAGCCAACTGCTCTGCCGCCTGAACTGCAATGCTTTGTTGCCAGGACGCGGCTTCGCAGCTCGAGACCAAAAACCGCCCCGCAGGCGGGTGCTCAGGCCCGCGTGCCCGCGTGCACAAACGGTCAAAAGCCGCGCGGCGCGTTTGCAACATTCTGTAACTTTCCCGGGAGGGCGGTTCCTCTGCCTCTCTGCAGCAAGATGGGGACAGGAGCCCGCGACCCTGAGGATTGCCACTGCTTGCAAACAGGCTGCAGGTTTCCCGCCCTCATACCAGGGCTGAGGGGGACAGCTAAGGGGAAATGAGCTGCTGCAGTCCCTTGAGGGCCCTGAGGCAGAGCCCAGGGGCTGTCACCTGTGGGCCCTGATCCTACCTAGGAGGAGGGACTAGGGGAGCAGGGTTCCTGCCTAGCCCCACCTGGGACACTTGAAAGCTTTGGCATCAGGCTTTTGCATCTTCCTGCTCTTGCCCTGTGTGTGAACTGAAGAGGAGAGTAACCAGCATCAGATATCCAAACAGGCAGCATTCCTTTCCTCCTCTTTGATTCCTGAAGTTATACCCTGCCTGTTCCTGCCTTTTACCCTCAACCTGAAGAAAATTCCTTCGTGTATTTCTGTAGCAAGCTTTCTAGTAACAGATTCCCTTGCGTTTTTCTCCCCTCCTTTAACCTTCCTATTTATTTTCATTTGGGGCCCAGAACTTACATCACACACACACAGACACACACACAGTGCCTGGGGGGACCTTTTCTTCTGGCCCTGCAAGGTGTTCTCTCAGTCTCTTGTGGCTGGTGTGCTTTCCATGGGAAGTTTTAAATTGACATTTCCTTGTATTGGACCTGTTATTTTCTCTGAGTATTTTGCAGAATTGTCTTCATGCTTGTGTATTGAGTTGAGCGTGTCTTGGATGAGACTTTTCCCAGCATCTTAGATGTGTTTTCCATGAATTGTGACCTATCTCCCACTTTTTCCTGTATCTCTCTTGTTCCTCAACTCCTCCTTTACCCATGAGGATGGTAAGATGTTAAAATTTTTCGTGTTGCTTTGCATGTCTCTGAGACTCTTAATTTTTTTGTTCTTTTTTTCTCTTTGTTTTTAGATTGGCATTTTAATGCCCCGCAGAGTCTTGGACTCTTGTTCTTTTTCTGATGGAAGCTTATTTATTTCCATTAAATGAATTCTATTGATGTCATATTCCATTCATGTCAAGGGTATTTGCCTTTCTTTCTGCCTTTCTTTCTTTCTTTCTTTCTTTCTTTCTTTCTCTCTCTCTCTCTCTCTCTCTCTCTCTCTCTCTCTCTCTCTCTCTCTCTCTCTCTCTCTCTCTGTGTCTCTCTTTCTCTTTGTCTCTTTCTAAGAGAATGGTTTTTTCTAGTGATGTAGGGGAAACTGAGCTAACAGTAACCAGGAGCTCAGGAGAAGAAAGGAAATTTAGTGATCTCCAGGGGAGTCATCCTCAAAGTCTGAGGTGGTATTTGCAGAGAGCTTGTCTTTTTTATAGAGTGGCAAACAGAGGTCGTGGGGAAGAGTTGCAAGCTTTTAGCTGAAGGATGTGGTACAATGGCTATCTTGTGGTGAACATAGTTGTGTGTAGCAAAGTTGTCAGCATGTTCCCAGGGCTTTCAGTTGCATGAAATCATATGATTTAGCTGAGTTCAGTGGCTGAGAACAGAATGGCTTTACCTTTACTGAACAAAGTGTCTACAGTTTGATCAGGCTTTCTGCTTCCATGGTAGGGGTTTTCCATGATCCTTCCTTTATGTGGGTTGTTGCAGGGCTGGATATTGCCCTTTCCCTTGAGGATTGGTCAGATTGTCTTAATTTTCTATATGTACTATTGCTTAGTTTTGGATAGTGCCCTGGACAGTTTGCTGGTTGATTTAGCAGACTCTGGTTCCTATTAAAATCCTAAAGCAAGCAATGGTTTCTCTTGTTCTGTTGTTCTGCAAAGCTGTCAAGGCAGCAGGGTCAGACCGCATCCTGCATTTGCTTTGCAGGGTCCAGGTTGTGCTCAGGCCACAGTGCCCCACCCCCAGCCCTGGTGGTCTACTGGATGCCTGGTGGTTGATAGCTCAGTCACTACCCAAAGCCTTTGCCTTGCTTCTTTGGAACTATTCTGTGCAAGCCGCTCAGTGTGAGTTTAGACCTTGTGCTGGCTCTCTCACAGACTTCAGTGATTTCTTTCTGTAGCTCTCTCCTCTTTAAAATGCCATTTACATTTTCCTGCCACAAGAAGAGAACTTCCCCAGGGCAGGTCAACCCTCAGGCCATCAGCAACAGCAATAGAGTACAAACATAGTGGCAATTTCCCTCATTCTCTTCATACAGCAGAAGTCACTGCCTGTTCCTTTGTGGGCACAGGTCATTTGTTGGGGCTTTAGGTCCTTCTGCCTCTCTTTTTTTTTTTTTTTTTTTTTTTTTTTGGTCTTTTTTTCGTTTTTATCGGTACCAGGGATCCAACTCACGACTGGCTGCTTGCAAGGCAGGCGCTTATGCCGCTGAGCTAAATCCCCAGCCCCCCTTCTGCCTCTCTTGAGGCTGCTGGACAACTTTGCAACCCGTGAGGAAAAAACCCCACAAAAGTGGGATGGGATGACTCTTTAACCCTCAGATGCACCCCCAGCCCCGAGCAGAAGTCCACACTTCTCTGGATACAAACAAGGATTGGGGTCCAGAATTTATTCTTTCAGTGATTACTGGAATTTATTTTCCCTAAACAAAGCTGGAAGACACAGAAGGAGAAACGCAACATGGAACAGCCCATTATGGGCTGTTGTTCTCCTTTGGATTCCAGTCCCCATTTGCCTGGTACTGCATGCTTGCAGCATTTTGAAGTACAGTATGCGCTTTCTGTCTGTGTCTGGTTGCAGTTGTAATTTGTGTGGGAGAGAAGTTATCTGGGGCTTCCCATATTTCCCTAACAAAGTTCTATGGCTACTAAATTAATTGAAAAGAAATGTATTTGCATTGTTACCTATGACAGAGTTCCCCTTCTTTTTAGTGGCAGAATACTTTGGGATTGTAGGAATCCTATGGCCTGGTTTTTATCCATTGCAACAGTAACGTTTATATTGCTTCTACATCTTGTTTGTTATGGAAAGTGTTGCTGTGAACATGGGAGCGCAGATGGTTTCACTCCTGGTTTCTGTTGTTTTGCAGAAGTACCCAGAAAGGTTAGTGAAGTAGACCAATCACAGAAGGACACATACTACACAATTTTCTTTATGTGAGACGCTTAAAATATAGCAACCTTTCAAGCAGGCAATAGAATGGTGATTGTTAGGGTCCGAGAATGAGGGGAATGTGAGTTGCTGGGCATTTGGTATCGAAGGTGTATGAATTCTGTACTTCTGTTTACAACAGTGTGCCTATAGGCAACAAAACTGTAATAATGTGCTTAGAAATTTTTTAGAAGTACAGATTTCACATTGTCTATCATAATGAAAAGCAGTGTTAGGCAGTTTTGACTGACAACAAAAGATTTAAGGCTATAAAATTGAAGGATTGATTCACTGAATAAATATCAAAGTCTATAATCAGGCGATTTCCAAAAAATGAAAGCTTGAATTATTTCACAACACAGGAATTTAATGAGTATCTCACAAAATGTGTGCATATAAGTGCACATGAGAGATGTGTATATGTATTTTACTACAATCCTAGTATATTTAGATGTTGTAACTTTCCTATAAAACTAAAGTTGCCTGGTTTGTAATTTTCTTTATTGTTCTATAATTTTGTGAGTGGAGGTATTATTGGTAACAAACCAGGAAACAGTCGTGGTTTTTGATGCAGCCTTCCTTGCTATTTCCTTTAGGTGTTTCATTCCTTGACTTAAAGAAACTGAACAGTAGAAGAAAGAACACTGGGTGGCAGATGGGGCCACAATGAAGTACAGGAGGAGGTGTCCCTGCGAAGTCAGCATCAGCCCCAGATCACCCTACGAGCCGCTCTTGGTATGAAATCCGCTTGAATTAGTGATAGGTTTCACTCATGTGGGAGCCTGCCAGACCTCACGTGGTGCCTGCCCAACCTGGTGCTGGACCCTAACATGACAGCGTGTCCCTCTAGTATTGATTTCTGTGTTCTTCTGATCTCCAGTTGACCTTTTTGCTTTTCCTGCATGTGCCAGCATCTCCCCCATCAGCTGTCAGTAGGTCTTTCTGCCCGCCTCTTCAAACACCATCCCCTGTCCAACCTAATCAAAGCCCCATGGCTTCTTTGTCTGCCTCAGAGGGATCTTGCACTCTTTGGCAGCTCTCCCATGCCCACTGATAAGGCCTTTTTTCTTTTCTGCCTTTGTTTCTCTACTGAACCAAAAAAGCTCCAACAATTAACATGCTCAGTTCTGGAAAAATAACAAGTCTCATCCAGTGCAGGTGAATGCAGTCAAGAACATTGTTTTCATTGCACAGCATTAGTGCTTAAGGAGTGTGAGCAAGGCAGAAGAATATGGTGCATTATATAGTGTCTCTCCCTCCTCTTGATACAGAAATAGAAACGAAAGGGCCAGGGATTTAGCTCAGTGGCATGAGTGCCTGCCTGGCAAGCATGAGGCTGTGAGTTCCATCTCCAGTACCAAAATAAATACAATAAAAAGCAAGAAAGAAAAGAAATAGAAATTCAGTGTAAGTACATCTTCCAAGCCATCACTGCCAACTCTGAGTTCATTTTCTAAGTCTTGTTTTCCTGCTTTCACAGGGAGCCCTTTTAAGACCTCCAAAACTCTCATTAAGATTGTTTTAAATGTGTCTCCTCCTACGCTGTCCTTTGCTTATCACTGTTAAGCTGTAGAAAAACCCGGTCTCCATCCCAAGAATTTTTGAGTCTTCCAGCTTTGCCCTGGAGGAGCAGAGAAGGGCACTCAGCTAGGGATGAATCATTCCAGGTAGTTCAAGCTATGAACGGGGCGCAGCCTCCCGCCCCTCCCTGACACCTCGCTGTATGTTCTGTCCCACTCTGAGCAGTTGTGCTAGTTCTCATCCTGGAGAATCAGGTGGTGCTGCTGCCCCGGGGGTGATGGAAGGTTAAGTGTATAAACAGTTCAAACAGCCATTTGTTGTTCTTCCTTTCCTGTGTACAGAAGAAGATTGCACCCAGGGGCGTCTACCACTGAACTAAGTCCCCCACTCCTTTTGCTCTTTATTTAAATTTCCCAGCGGAGCCTGAACTGTGATCCTCAAGTCTCGGCTTCCTTAGTGCTGGGATTACAGGTGCACAGCACATCTCATATAAAGGGCTTATTTTGGCTCACTGTTATGGAGGTTACAGTCCATGACTGCTTGACCCCAGTGCTTTTGGGCCATTGGTGAAGCTGCACATGATGGGAGGGTATGACAGGAGAATCACAAGTTCAAGGCCAGCCTGGTGGACTTCATGACTTAATGGAACCCTGTCTCAAACTCGAAAATAAAAAAAGGCCGGGGGTGTGGTTCAGTGGGAGGAAGCTCCTTAGTTCAACACCCAGTGCCTCCATCCATCAATTAAACAATCATTTAAAACAACTTCAGGAGGAATATTTTAGTGACAGAAGGCTTCTGTCTTTTGACTGTCCCAGTGCCAATATCCTGGTTATGGTATTGTGCTGTAGTTGTTGAAAATGTCACCACTTAGGGAATGCCACATGCAAAAGGATCCGGCAGTTTCTATTTCTTACAACTCGATGTGAACCTACAATAGTCTTAAAATAAAAGTGATACCTGAAAGAATGCTCATTGTTCACCTTTTGGGGTCTAGAAGCTATCAGCTGGGCAAGTCTGCAAACACTGACTTTTTGGCTGCCACCAGTTCCTTATACATCTGGGCTGCAAAATGACCAGTTGTCTCAAGTTTATGTCTTTAGCAGCACCCTGGCAACCAGACATTCTTTCTTTCTTTTTTTTTTTTTTTCCATTGATACCGGGGTCAAACTCAGGACCTATGTGCTTGTCAGGCGGGCGCTTACACTGCTGAGCTAAAAGCCCGGCCCAAAGAGCTAGTATTTCTAAGGCCAACACACCTTGCTTTTCCATTCTGCTAACACGGAACTGCTGACCCAGTGTCACATATATCAGAACCACCCAAGTTAGCACAACAGATAGTTTCCCCTGTGTTGTCTGAATCTGTGTGTTTGCCAGTTTGACAGATGAAAAGTGTTAAGATATGGTTTACATTTCTCTTAGAGTAATGCAGGTTAAGTGTCTTTTAATATCTTAAGTTTGTACTTTTTCTGTGAACTTTGCTTATGTGCTTTGCTTGTGTAATAATGGTATCAGACTAATTTTAGAACACATGCTGCTTGGAGAAGTTCTGAAAACTTATAAAGCTTGTGCTGTTCTCTACAGACATACATACTGAATCGGAATAGTCCTTGTGATCTCTGAAATTTTGAGTTCTCTCCAAATTGAAGCGGGAGGCAGCAGTTATCAGGAACAACGAGTTAAGAGAAATACGTACTAAATCAGACAGCCAGTATTTGGGGTCAGTAATATGTTTCTAAGATGCTCACAAGATTTGGAAACCAGCGAGCAAATCGGCTGAAATCAAGCAATGCCAATCGGCGAGAGAACACCATGAGGCCCCTGCTAAAGCAAAGTGGCCATTCTTTCTGACCTCGCAGCCATCCACGATCACAGAAGCTTGTTTTACGCATTTGGCTTCAGATTAAAATTTGAACTACACTGAAATTAGATATTTGGGTGTCTGGGACTAGCTAATTAGTCCTATCCAACTGGTAAGCTCAACCAAATACAGTGGAGCCAGGATGGGAACGCCTCTGGTGCAAAACGCAATAGGAAGCACAAGATCCACTTCCCAGGCTGGAGAGGGCGGGGCCCTTCAGACCCACCCTGAGTGGGCGGTGACCACAGGCGGCTCCCTGCCTCTGTGACGTCACGGAAGCCCCGCCCACAGCTGTCAGCCACTGCCCATACCAAGCTGCATGCTGGCCCTGGGAAGTTGCCCCTTCCTGGGGTCATGATGGGCAGCAAAATGGCGTCTGCCACCGGATTATCCAGGTAAGGGGCTTTCATTGCTTTTCCGCACGCGGGGCGGTAGGGATGGTGCAGCCATAGCAAAGGCTTAGGGCAGAGAGACTTTGACACAGGATGCACAGTGACACTGCCCATGCTACTGGATAGGCGTGTATGAAGATGGGACATGAAGCGCGTGGCCTTGGGCAGTAGGGCAGTGCCTTGCGCTTTGCAGGGGCGAGGCATGTCGGCAGGTGGCTAGCTCCCTGCTGACCCCGGGGTCAGGGCTTCTCTGCCAGCACCTCAGCCTTCATGGTCTGCTGGCTAGGCTGCCCTCAGGAGCTGGGCCGATGGAATGCAGCAAATCATCATGGAAATTGCACACCATCACCAACTCTGATTCATCCCAGGATGAATGCAGGGATGGTTCAGCATAGGCAAAGCAGTAAATATACTAGAGCACGTTCACAGAACTCAGGACAGACACCACATGCTTATCTCAGTGGATGCAGAAAGAGCATTTGGTAAAGTCCAACACTCATTCATGATTTAAAAAAATCCTACAGAAAATTGGAATAGGTGGATGGTCTTTACCTCAATCAGATAAAAAGTCTTCTGTGACAGACCAACAGCCCACCTCATACTAATTGGAAAAAAAAACTGAAAGCTTTCAACCTAAAGTCAGGAACGAGGTGAAGATATCCACTATCACTACTCCTGTTCCATATAGTTCTGGAAACAGCCAGAGCAATTATACAAGAGAAAGAAATAAAAGGAAGAAGACTAAAGAAGAAAGAAGTGAAATTATTATTTGGAGACCACAAGATACTCTACTTAGAAGACCCCCAAAATTCCACAAAAGACTTCTAGATTTAGTAAACAAATTCTGAGGTGTAGCTGGATACAAAGTCAATGCTCAAAAATCAGTAGACTTCTTGTACACGAATAACAAACTCAATGAGAGAGAAACCAGGGAAACAACACTTTTCACAATAGTATCCAAAAAACTGAAATTTTTAGGAATCATTCTAACAAAGGTAGTAAAAGACGTTTACATTACAAGTTACAGGATTTTGAAAAAGGAGATCAAAGATGATACTGGAAAATGGAATGATACCCTTGCTTATGGATAGGAAGGACCAACACTGTGTAAGTGTCCATATTCCCAAAACTGTTATATAGGTTTAATACAATCCTGATCAAAATACCACTAGTGTACCTCAGAGGTCTAGAGAAAACATTCCTAAAATTCATCTGGAACCAGAAGAGACCTAAAATCCTGGGCAACAAAGCAAAGCAAGACACATTACAATCCCTGACTTGAAATTAAACTACAAAGCTACACAGTGATGAAATTAGCATGGTACTGGCAAACAGACTTGAGGATCATTGGAACAGAAAAGATGCAGACACAACCTACACTCAGCCACACTCTCACTGAGAAAGGAGCCAAAGATGTTCAGTGAAAGAAATCCTCTTTAATAAATGGTGCTGAAAAACTTTTTTCCATATGCTGAATACTAAAACTAAAAACAAACCCCTGGGTATCACCGTGCACTAAAGTACAAAAAAGATTTTTTTTTTTTCGGTGCCGGGGATTCAACTCATGGCCTTGCACTTCGCAGGCAGATGCTTGTGCCTCTGAGCTAAATCCCTGGCAGAAATGGGTCAAAGATCTAAATATTAAAAGAGAAATATGAAATTGACTAGAAGAGAAATTAGGTGGAAATCTTGAAGACATGGCAGTAAGACAAAGATTTCATTAAAAAAACAAACTACATAGGAAGTACTTCAAGGATCAACAACTGGGATTTCATCTTATTACAAAGTTTTTTTATTCACAACAAAGTAAGTCACCAACAGAATGAAAAGAAAACACACATATTGGGGAGAAACTAGCCAACTGTTCCTCAGACAAAGGACTTGTATCTGGGACATATAAAGAATTGAAAAACATCAGGTCCTGGGATTCTGCCTTTCCCCAGAAACAATGGCTATCTTTAAAAATCATTGAATAATCAATACTGGCGGGGTTGTGAGGGAAAACATCCTTTGCCAACCTTCGTAGGCATGTAGACAGGTGCAAGCACTGTGGAAATCAGTGTGGAGGCTCCTCCAAAAAAGGACTAGAGGTCCCATTCAACCAAGTTGTTGCCCTTCTTGGGTATTTCCCCAGAAGAATTGAAAACATCATACCACAATGACATATGTTCATCCATGTTATAGCAGCACAATTTTTAATAGATCTTTGAAACCACTCAAATGCCCATCAACCGCAAAAAGGATAAAAATGATGTAATGTATTTTGTATTTGTTTTTCATAGTGAGGATCAAGCTCACGACCTCATGTTTGCCAAGCAGGCAGTTGTGCTGCTGAGCCAAGTACCTGGCCCTAGGATACGGTATTTCAATACAAGATAGTATTCCTTGGCTATAAAGATGGATCAGTTCAAGGCTTTTATAGGTAAATGATGCAACTAGAGTTTATACTTACAAGTAAATAAAACATACCAATATGGGTAAACAGCATGTTGTCTCCCTAGTGTAAGAAACTGAAAGAGTAAATAAGATCTAAAAGGTATAACGCATATTCTGAAAGAGAATGAAACCGCTGAAGAGGAAAGAAATGGGACAGGGAAAAGGAGAAAAGAAGCAAGGCAAGTTATATATATATACATATGTGTGTACACACACAGATACCTAAGACAGTTCTACTGCTAATGCTCATAGTTCATCGAAAGGAACATTAACTGCTTCTATTGGAGTAGTCCTGCATCTGGTAATCACAGCAACTATCTTGAAGACCACAATATGCAATATAATAAGCAATGTTAATTTCCTATCTTGTTTTGAAGTTCTGTATTTTTTATGGGTTTTTAAATTCTCTTTAAAATTAAAAATGGTTGAAAGTGTTTGTCAGTATTTTCACTAAAATTCAGGTTAGCTGCCCCATTTATAATAAAGCAGGCAGGAGCTTGTTTTTATGTATATCCCCTACCGGTTCTTCTGGTAACTTAGAGCCAGTTCTGTTTTACATGATGCCAATTGCAGCACTTGTAGACAGCTGTCATGATCACACATAAATGTCCTGATTATTTCACTGAGGGAATTAAAATATTATAAGTGGGATTACTGGCATATGCCTTTAATCCAAGCTGTTTAGGAGGTAGAGGTGGAAAATCAAAAAGTTTGAGGCCAGTCTCAGCAATGTAGCCAGAGCCTGTCTCAAAATGAACAAATTAAGCTGGAGCCAGCTGCGGTGGCACACACCTGTAATCCCAGCCCTCGGGAAAGCCGAGGCAGAAGGATCCCTACTTCAAACCCACCCTAGGCAATTTGGGAAGACCCTGTCTCCAAATACAACAGTGCTGAGAAAGTAGCCCCCTTTGAAGGCCCAAGGTGAAGTCCCCAGCACTGCAGAAAAATGAAACGGAATGATGACGTAGGCATGAAGAAGGGAAGTGCAAAGGCACTCCTGGATTTGATCTGCACTGCCAAAAAGTCTGGGGAGTCATTTTCAGATCCAAATAGAATGTACAACCTATTAACTCAAATTTTTCTGCTGTCTAATTAATTAGGAAATATTCTGCTGCTTGCTTTTTCAAGATCTTTGTTTATAGAATTCTCATATACAATATATTGTTTTATTTTAACCTAACAGAATTAAAACATGCTTCAGAAAGTAATCTTCTAAAACTACAAACTGAGAATAAAAAACCTGAGAAAGGAGCTGGACAGTATGGAAAATTCCAACAAAATAAAGATCATACAACAAAGCCTACACACAGAGATGGAGCTTGCTGCAGTTACTCAACATGTGGTCTAGGTAACATTTGTATAAATCAGGAAAGGAGGGATAAAGACCTTTTAAAAACACCACTGACATGAATACCTTACCACGGGTTGTGTCAGGTTGTGGTCATAAGCTAATTCAGTACAACGACTGAGTACGTAGCCGCACTGGAGAGCACTTGCCTAGCACTGGTGAAGCCCCAAATTCAGTCCCAGCATTGCAAAAATCATAATTGTCTACTGATATTTGCTGTACTTACATATGTAATATTCATGTACACTCAGCATTTAGGGGCTCATTTTTCATCATGGTTAATCATTAGCATTTAGAACTGGCATGTTTTCTACAGCTCTGGAGGCAGGTTGGAGTACAGATTTAGCCTCCAGGTTTGAGGGCGGAGTGGACCTGGGTGAGAGTGGCAGTTAAGTAGGTGACTGCTGCCACTGGGAATTTAGCTCAAGTGGGTGCTCAAGGACATGGGGTTGATCCCAACCCCATCACAAAGAGAGAAATATCAGCATGATGTCAAGTCCAAGTAAACTCTAGTAAAAGTTGCCATAAAATTTTTCCCCTGAGACATTAATGGCAAGAAAGAAAGAAAGAAAGAAAGAAAGAAAGAAAGAAAGAAAGAAAGAAAGAAAGAAAGCAAGCAAAAGAGAGACAAGGCTGACTGAGCTGGCTGTGGAGGCCCATGTTTGTCCACACAAAGGGCTGGGGATGCAGCTCAGTGTGATGGCCATGGGTTCCACCCCTGGGCCTAGGGATGAAAGAAGAAAAAACTGTCCGTGGAAATTGATGAGGTATTTGCAGACATCATAAACATACCTTTACCCTGCTGAAGCCTCTTGTAAGTAGAAATAAAGACAAAAGTGTATCACGCACTGGGAATACAGGCAAGTGTCCCAGCACCTGCCAGGTAGCATGAGGTCCTGGGTTGAATTCTTGGACAGAAAAAATAATTGTGTATCACTCTTTTCTGTGAAAACAGGGCTACTGTAGCTTTCTAGTAAATGTTTAAAAAATTAGATAAGATTAGTGAAGGGAGTATTTAACAAAAATCTTGTTAAAATTTTAAAGTGCTTATATTTTAAAGTTGTTATATTTTGACTTGTTTTTTGTTTTTATTTTAAAGTATAGAACATCATTTTGGGGTGTAAAGTCAACTGGGCAGCAGAGCCAGCACTCAGGGAAACTGTTCTGCAGCTTGAAAAGGCTCTCACCGCAATCTAACAAGAATTCCACTGGACCCGGTGCTGCCATGTGTGCCTTTGATCTCAGCACTCAGGAGGCTGAAACAAGAGGATTGCCACTTGCTGAAGACCAGCAAAGATTTGCACCTTGCAGTTTTTGGATCTGATATGTCATTTAAATAGCAAATTTCAAGTGAAATGAATTTGTGATGTTTGGGGAACGCTCCTAATCTGTAATCGCTTTTTAGCTTCAGTTAACACTCTAACATAGAATCAGTCATTTTAAATAACACTAAAGTGACTGTGTACTCTTAAAAGGGGAATGTCTTAGTCATAGAAAAGCTACCTGGTCTGATATCTGAGGAGCAGGCGCAGTTTTGGACATTCACAAAGTCCCAGCATTTAATTGTAATACTTGTGTGCATTTCTGCATTTGTCAGTGAGGATGCAGACAAGTCTCCAGAGTGTCAGCAGCTGGTAAAATTCATAGTGGGGTTATGAGTAACTGTCTTCTGTTCTCTCTGTGTCTGTTTCTCCCCTCACACATACTTCTGCACACGCACATACATAATGCTGGCTACACCCTGGCAATGCTGATGTACAGTGACATCCATGCCCATTTTCAGTTCTGTTTGGAGACAAGGTCTTGCCAACTTACCAAGGCTGGCTTCAGACTTGGAACCCTCCTGAACAACTGGGATTACAAGCATGTACTGCCATGTCCAGTACAAAGCTCTTTATTAATTAGAAGCTATTGAGCATATTTATGGACAGTGTGATGTTTTCAGTATTCTTATTGGAATAAAGTGAAACTTGAAAAGATGTGCTCATTGGATAATAGCTCGTGAAATCTGTTCTTTAGATTAATAACAAATAGAGATTTCCCTAAGCTCTAATAGTAGGCTTTTCTTTGAAATATTTATACCCTGTTTTCTTTGATCAATCATAATGTATGCATAGTTTTATTCTTTTTGTCTGTTATTGTTTTGAGGTAGCGTCTCATGTGCCCTGCAGGGCATTCTGAACTCACTATGTAGCCCAGGCTGTCCTAGAACTTCCTGCAGTCCTCCTGCCTCAGCCTCCTGAGGAGAGTAACGCTATAGGCATACACCACCACACCTGACCTGCTGTTGTCTATAACAATTGTTATAAAGTAACTTACTTTTCGCGTGCAAATTATTTTGAAAAATGCTTTTTGGTTCCAGTAATCCACACAGGAACTGTTTGTTTGTTGTGGTACTGGGCATTGAACCCAGGATCATTGTGCTTAGCTCTCTTGAGCCCTTTATTTTTTTTAATTTGTTATTTTGAGATAGGATCTCATCAAGTTGCTGAGTTGCCCAGGCTGGGCTGAAACTTGACCCTCCTGCCTCAGCCCCTAGAAAACTGGCATTCTAGCAATGCACTACCACAGTCACTTGACACTGTATTAGTAAATTTCAACCTGTGGACCACCTGAAAAAGTGTATCTTCATATACTAAAACAGGTATATGTTTATCTGGGACCTTAGTGGTCTTTGACTTACCTGTTACCCAGCTCTGAGAGAGGAAGTGGGTAGGCTTTGCCTGAACTGTTGCTGAATACAGAACTCACAGCTCACTGTTTTATGACATTTACTTCTGTGTGGGTTTGGGGTTCAGCCGCCCACTCTAGGACTCCATTTGAGGGAGCAGCCACTCAGCAGAAGGCGGGGGCTCCTTAGATCTAGTCAGGTGCATTCCACAAGCAGAATGTAATCTGCTTGGAAAAGGCAGCCATGGCCCCAACCCCACATCACAGAGGCCTTGGGTTTTGTCCCAGCTAGCGAATGCTGCATTTCAGAGTCAGGAAAAGGAAATGGGAATTTACTACAAATGACATGATCTACCTTAGTCAGCTTTGCTCCATGAAATAGACACCCAAGAATAGGGAGGTGCCGGCAGTCCTAGTGACTTGGGAGGCTGGGGCAGGACTGCTTCAGCCATGAAGATCAATCCAGCCTGGGATACACTTGAGACCTAATGTCTGGCTTATAACCACATCCACAAAGACACTCCTCTCCAGGAAGTAAGCCAACAGCTCAGCCTCTCCTGGTGGTATTTCAAGCTTTAAGAGCTCTCTCTCTCTCTCTCTCTCTCTCTCTCTCTCTCTCTCTCTGTCTCTGTCTCTCTTGCTCTTTCTCTCTCTCACTCCCTCCCTATTCCTGTTGCAGGGATCTCCTAATGTAACTGGCCTAGAACTCACAGGGATCCTCATGCCTCCGCCTCCCACGTGCTGGAGTTACAGGTATGCTTCACCACACTCAGATTGTCTTGTTCTTCAGTTGTTCTTCTCATCGGTATCAGGGACTGATAACCTGGCTCACAGGCTGTTTTAGTATATGAAGTTTTACCACCACAAGGCCGTGCCACTATGTTCACATGTTAACTGTGCTTGCTTTCTTGCCATGATAAAATAGTGTAATCGAATGAAGTAGCTTAATAGTGACCCTGAGGTGGCTGCACTGCACTTTTCCATAGGACGAGGTGTTGTGAAAGACAGGTTACCGAGCCCCGTGGGAGCTGGCTTCTGTTTGAGGGATGGCAAAGAAATACCAGCATGGCCCTCTCTCAAGGGCTCAGGGGCTTTGCATGGGACTTGAAGAGGGGATTGTCGCTACCTTGAGTCGGGGTGGCTTTGTGAACTGTGACTGTCATGCTGTTGTGCCCACGTGTGTTTATCTGCTCCTCTTACTGTCATAAGGACCCGTGAACCTTGGTGGTACCATGGGGTGGCAGTTCTGCCTCCCTCATTTTTGCCTTGACAAGGGCCCAGGCATCCTGGGGCTGGACCTAGTAATCCTCAGGTTTTCCCTCACAATGGATTGAAAAATCTAATTGTGCAATAGAATATTTATTCTGAGTTACCCAAATTCTTCTTAATTGTTTATGCGATTCATTTCACTATTGAATTGCTGCACCCTACATGTTAGATCCAAGTATTTTATTAAAATATCTTTTAGCAAGAAACCTCAGCCTGGACTAGGTACCTCTTGTTGCATCACACACTGTGCTCTGACCTGGCTTCCAGCTAGCACTGGGGATGGGATCACTCGCCAAGCAGAGGAAGGGCGAGGCCAAGGAAGATGGTGGTACACCGTGACACAGGCCGAGTGTGAGTGTAGGAATGGAACAGGCGGGTGTGTGCACTAGGCCTAGTCGGTCCTGGTGTGCGCTCTGCCACCCAGGGAGCAGTGGGTATGGATGGCGCATCCCATGCCTTGTAAGCAGACACAGTGAAGATGAGGACGGACAGACTGAGCACTGATGGTGAATCACTGAGTGACCTGATGGCAGTCTCGGGGCAGACTCTACCTGTGGGAAGTGAAGACAGAATTTCTGCTTTTGCTTCAGAAGCATTTACCATCCTCATCCTGTGAAAAGTCATCTGCAAGGAGCCTGCATTGGGAATTCTGTGAAGCAGAGTCAGTGCCAGCGCTCCCCTCGCAGGCTCCCTGAAATGGTCCATTCGGATGTGATTGGGACTTTGTGTTTCACTGAACACTTTCTTACGCCTCCTGTGTGACTATGTTTTGGTTAGGTTTTATTTTTATTGGTATGTGATCACAGTACATAATGATTCTATTTATCAGAAGCAGTTGGTGGATATGCATGATAGAGTTTTCCTCAATATGGTAGAAAAACAAGAGTAAGGAAAGGAAAAACCAAAAAGGACTTTATTGCTGGCATGGGAGGTCTGCAGGGGGTGCAAGATCCCTTCAGGGCAGACAAAGAAACCTGGAGCTTTTATTCAGTTTGAGAGGGGTGGAGTTCGAAGGGGTGGGCAGAGTGACATTTTGACAGTTGTTTGAGGGATTGCTGATGTGTGCACAACAAGTGGGAAGTTCAGTTTTTGGGTTTGCAAGAAGAACGTGGAAGTCAGTTTCGAAGTGAGGTACGGTCCAGTGCCATGATGGGCAGGCACCATGCTGAGCCTGGCAGTGCTCCACAGGAGCAGAATCCATTATTCCCATCTTTTGGGTGTTAGAGGCAGCCACTCTTAAACTGCTTCCTGCTGACTGGGGTGACATGATAGGAATTGAAGTAGTCATTGTGATGACAGGTGGACCCGGGTAGAATCTGGGACCAGGGGTCCCCTCAGGACAAGGAGTTATCTTCTTATAAAGACCCACAACCCAGATTGAAGAAATCTTTAGAAAAGTTTAAACAGACAAGGAGATATAATCAAAAAATAACAAGTAGTATGAGAGGTCCTGCCAGGGGAAGAAGCTCAGAGGAAAGTGTTCCCTTTTCTATAATAGCAGCAGTTAGACTTTTTTGCAGATATTATCGTAATGTATTTTTAATTGCCCATAACAGTTGTTAATTACTGGGATAGTTGGAAACTGCCTGAAGAGTTTAAACTTGGAGCCATTACTATATTTAACTTATGACACATTTTTATATCCTTTGATTATATTTTTTGCTGGATGTTTAAGACCAAGTTAAACTGAGACCTGTGTTAATTAAAACTAACCTCTTGCTATCTATCAAGGTCAGGTAAGTCTCCTCAGGATTTGTCTTGGAACCATGTGTGGAGCCTCTTAGTTCTTGACAGTGTCAGCCATCAGGATGGTCAAGCAATGAGCCATTGCTTGACCAAGTTGGTTTCTGTGAAAGCTTGGGAGAGTTTTCTTCTGGTTGACTCTCCTTAGGCACACTATATACTGTGTCATACTTTTTTGTAGTTCCATAATCTCCTTGATCGCAAGACCCACGGAGATAAGGAATGTCACTGCAGAGGTACTCTTATATCCTGGGTCTTCAGTGACCTCAGATGGCTGGAGCCAAAATATTGGTTGTCCTCCCAGTCCATTCATCTTTTTTAATTTTTGGTCTCTAAATATCTATTGTTGAACATCCAGAAGTAAGGATTGGTAATATTACAGTGTAAAAAGGCAGCATGTTTAACATTATTACCTTATCTGAATATCAAGTACTTTAGAACATAAAATAACATCCAATATTTCTATCAATCATTGATGTCCTAATACTTCAAGCCCATGGAAACTGTTAACAGTTACATACTTTTCACAGAAAATTTGAAATAAAACCTATACATACTATTGTAGCATGACAATTACGACACTCTGTGTCAATCTGAATTTGCATTTTGACCTAAGATACCCCTTTTAGTCGATCATCCCTATCTAGTACATAAGCTTTCACCTGACTGGTTTATCTTTAGCGGGATGAGCATGTAGTAAGTTTGTGTTACAGGCAGAGGTCTTAATCTGAAACAATTTTGTTAAACAATCTCTGTTTTACATTTTTGGAAGGAAGACCTGTACATGTGGAAGCATGACTACATTAATACACTGTAAGGTTATTAACAATCTATTGTTTCATGTGAAACCTTTGTATCAGAGCATATTTAAATAATTTATTGTATGATTTGTTTGACAATGACCGATGTGAACATAATACAATAATGTGTTTTTGAATTTTAGTTGGGATGTGTCCCATAAGGCTATGGAGGTCATTGGAGCCTCTGATCAATGAACAAGAACTGGGTAAATGTTACCAAGTAGCCACTTTCTGAATCAACAACTCCACTGAAGTCCTATCCAATAATGCCCCCACCCTACAGGATTTTAATTATCTTAACAATTTCTTAGCGACTTATGCAAAATCCAGACACCACATTTAGCATACTGTTTTTAAACAGTGAGAGACTGTTGCATCACAAAACATAAATGAAAGTATTATCAAATTTACATAACCAATTATAGCATCATTTTGATGACCTGGCAACTCAGGTGGAAGCAGG